TTTTGTAGCAATAAATTATTTTTTATCTACGACAGATGACTGTTAAATAATGAGAAAAAAAATAGTCTTAACAATGAATAAATTTTAGAAGTACGTCAACAGTGTTGCTGTTCAATATTTTCTTTTGATAAAATATACCAAAAAATTGACATCATTTTATCTATGGTATTTTTCCCCTAGAATTTTTCGCTTGTTGTATCAATTCATTGATTCTTCTTAAAAATCTAAGTTTCATTATCACATACATATCTGATACTAATAAACTAATTTAGATTCTTCTTTCATTATTCATCGAGATTATCATAAATCACAACTTTGTAACTAATTATATATTTCTTCATAGATATTAGAATAAACTAGACTTGAGAATTCATAACGACAACTTGAGAAGATTTCGACAGAATATTTATCAGATGTAAGACAAACGCATCATCCTTGAGCGATCGACAAATATCTAATTACCTACGAAGAGTATAGAAAAAAACTCTAAAAAACGATCGATGTGTCAGAAGAAAGAGTGTAGTCAGGTTTTTGTAATATCTAAACGCATTCTAATGAGTAGGTCTCATTTTGTTTTCGAAAAAGTGGAAGTTAAATTTTCAACAAGTTAAAATATTTATTTAAAGAAATGAAAGTTCATGCATCTTTAAAACATAAGGCATGAGTAGAAGTCTATTGAACAAATATCAATACAAAAAGAAAAGTTTGTAGAAGAGACTTCTATTCATATCTTATGTTTTATAGATGCATGAACTTTCATTTCTTTAAATAAATATTTTAACTTGTTGAAAATTTAACTTCCACTTTTTCGAAAATAAAATGAGACCTACTCATTGGAATGTATTGAGATATTGAGAAAAAGAACGAACGTGTATTGTCCATCATCAAATTAATAAAATTAGATGAATGGTCAAGTTAAAAGTAAGACGAAGATGATTCTTGAATACTAAACCTTTTTTCAAGTAAAGAATCGTTTACGACAGATGAAATAATAAAAAATTATCGTTTTAACGTCAACGAATCACTATTTATGACGTTTACAATTCGAAGTTTAAATGACAAGAACATAATATTACTTTATGACATACAAAATCGTTTTTTGTGATAAACGCGTAATTTGGTCAATATATCATCGTTTAAACGATGTGACATTAAACATCGTTTTGACGGTAGAACAGTGTTTTCTCAACAAACATCTATAGATGTTTTGTTGAAATAACTTAACAACCGATAATCTTGTTATTATTATTTTTAATAAAAATAATATAATTTTCTTTAATATAATCAAATGGATATTGATAAAAAAAAATTTGAATAATCTTAATGTTTTATTTCATCAAAATCTTATTGATTCTAAAACTTTTTTCAAAAATTATTCGATAATAATATTTGTACATGACAACAATATAATCGTCATTATGTAATGCATTTCATAATGACAATGAAGAACCACAACAACAATTATATCCTCATATGAGAAAATTATATAATCATGATACAGATTTACTTGAATATGTATATATTATTATGTCAACAGTTAAACCGAATGATTCAATCAATAAACAACTACAGCAAGATGAAATCTTAGGACAGCAACAACAACATCGTCGTCAACAAACACGTATTTCAAAACAACGTGCAAAAGTTTTAATTACAGAATATTGTCGAAATAAATAGAAGATCATATGAAAAGAATAAAACAATAAACAAAATTATTTCTTTTTATCCAGAGAACACGAGACATAAAACAGATCTGACATAAGAATATAGTGATCATATGTAATTAGATCTATAAAACTAAAGTATATTAGATGTTTTTCTCTTTTTGGAATTCTTGTTAGCCTTTTCAAACCATTAAACATGATAATACAGTTTGAAATTTTTGACGTTTCTTAGTGAATCTCTCTCTGTGTTAAAAGTAATCAATCTTGAACTAAGTATATTCAAATCGCATGAAGTTTTGAGCTCTATATTATCATTATCATTACGTTTTTGAGAGATATTCTATCAACAATAGTTAAAGATGATTTATTTCGAAAACTGAAATTCTATGTGAGTTTGTTTTCTTTTATTTTCTAAAGAACATATCATACTCTACGTCTTCATACACGATTAAAAAAGTGTAAACAGAAAAAATAATAAGAAGGATTTTCTGTTTTTCTTTTCAAGATAAAAAGCATATTTTATAGGGTGTGGGTGTAGCCCATATCCACCCGCAGCCCAAGTATACAAAAAACTGTTCAGCGGTCTAGCATGATTGGTGTGTTTTGTTTAGCTCTGTGTCGTAATTATGATTTTCTGTTGCATTTTCGACAAATTGGATTCGATTTAAGAAGTTTTGATGCAACTTATCAAGAACACTTGTAGAGATCAGTGAAGTTGCTATTCAAGCTCTCAGCTTTGTTGAAAATGAATAGCCATAACATTGGAGAAGTGTTCATCCTCTCGTCGGCACTCTTCGCGTCCGATCTTAATATGTTTATTCGATTGCTCAAGTAGGAATTCCTGGAGTCTTGCTTGCATTTGAAGCTCATTTCGTTCTGACTTGGTTAAAGAAGAGCTTCTGAGCGAGTTTCGAGTTCGTTCTAGCCGTTTTTCACGTCTCACTTTTTCTTCATCCAATTTGGTCAGCTTGGACTTAGCTTCACAAAACGATAACCATGCTTGTTCAACATCGTCTTGACATAATGAATGTGAGTCTTCTATAGATTGATTGAGTTCTTCGATAGAATCACTATTCACCAAGTCAAGAGTGCAACCAATTGGCTGTGAAGTTCTATAAGCTGTAGAGGAAGATGTGTTCTGTTGGAATGAGTGTCCAGATTTTGCCACCCATTTTTTACACTGTTTCCAACATCGCTTTCTAAGTGCAATTAATTCTTGGATTCTCAAATGCAGTTTATATCGTAACGACATATCTATGTTTCAAAGAAATGAAAAAAATTGAAATAATACAAATTTATACTTTACTTTTCGTTTGACGTTTGATATTAATCGAATAGAAGAGAGTTCTATCTATAGCAAAGAAACAAATTGTTATAGCTCTGTAAATTTTCAATAAAAAAAAATTAGTTTTAAAATTTTCTTCACATTCAATACAAAAATGATCTTTGAAAATCGAAGCCCTCTCTTTCTCTCAAAAAATCCTCAGCTTGTCAAACACTATCTATATAGGTTCTTTGCAATCGAATCATAGAACCACAATATTTGTGAGTGAGATAAGTTATATTGAAGCTTTTTGCGATCTTTTTCTCATTAAACATGCGAAACTAGAGTTTGCTGAGAAATGATCACAAATATCTCGAACATATGTACTTCATTTTACTCAAAAAATGTTGTAATTACATCATTCAATTGTTTAGAATATTATCAAAAACAATTTGACATCTTGCTTTCGATGTTTCGACTTTCTAACAATCAATTCATATCCAATGCAAAAGTAGTTTTAAACTTACATTTTCTGACTGGAAATTTGATGAGCTGCAACGTCTACAAATAAAGTAGCAATGCGTATTGTTGAGACTGGTATGGATCTCACTATATATATATGATTTTTCAATTGAAATGAAGGCTTAGAATCTTCCATCATAAGCATGAATAAGATGTTGCGTAAGAATTGATGAAATGAATAATTCGCTCCTGATAGGTATTTGGAATTTTTTCTTAAGGAAAAGGAAAAAATCAAGAACTTTCTAATGATATTATGCAAAAAGTCGGTGAAATCCTATTAGTCTGTGACTTTTTCTGTCTAATCAACATCATAAAGTCAATATAAAACAATTTTCAAGTGTGCACTTAAAAAATGCAACGGAAGCGATGATAAGCTGATTAAAACTATACATGGAAATTTTAATGAAAATTGATTCACCATATGTTGGAGCGGTTTCTCTTTTCCCACCGTGTAATAATTAGAAAACATACTTTACATTTTTTTTCCTTGTCTTAATTGGTTTATTCCATAGAAAATTTTTTTATTTTCATTACATCATCCAACAGAAAAGAAAAAAAAAAATGAAATGTCTCTCTTTTTCTTTTTCGTTATGTAATTCGATTTTAAAAAAATACAGGTTAACTTTCAGCGTGCCATTTTTCTTTTCTGTTTCGTGATATTATTAAAGTAAAAGTGTTCTAAAAATGACATATTTTGACATTTTCAAATCCTGATTTCCCAGTCACTCATGAAAATTGATGAGTGTTTTTTAATTTTTTTAGCTTGCAAATTTGTAGGCACAAACTCTGACAAATCTTTCAATCGAATCAATCACGACCACTCTCTACATGCATAACTATTGAAGATTTATATTCAAATTTCTTTTCTTTCAATAAGACCTGGTGTGCATCATACAAGTTTTTGAATTTTAGACAATATACATTGTTATTTATGCAGAGTTACTCTTGCATTGCGTTGGAAAAACTGAGAGCATGTTGCGGTCAGAGCACAACTTTTATCCAAAGTGCACATGAATTCATTGATATATCAACTAGGGGTGTGCCTCTCGTGCTCATAAGCGTGAGCATCCCTGTTCACTTTTTCCAACTATATTCCCCCAAAATCGACATTGATGATTTTCATGCCTGGGGTCCCTCTCAGGTATTTCAGAAAATTTTTTCTCGTCATTCTGTTATAAGTCCTTATATTTTAATAGCCCTAAGTGTGCTGATTCCAAATATTATATAACTTTACGAAAGTACTCGGATAATAAGAAAAATACTAAGCATTCAATAAAAGCCTTAAAAACCAGTTTTGTCTCAAAATCTAATTAAATTTCTGTTTATATTCATCGCAAATAGGTCGATTCGATACCGAATTTTTTTCTCTATCAGAATCTGTAAGAATCTATGCAACATTTATTCGTTTGCCTACTAATAAATGGCCAATACAGCCCCAATTCGGCGGTTTTTTTTTGTTGCCTTATGAAGTTGAATTTTTTTCTCCTATATCAGCATTATTTTATTTTGTGAATATGAAATTCTATATACTCTTACTTGCTATATCAGTTTTACTTTGATATTCAATACTCAAGATTTACTTTTCTTATAAACACTCACAACCACAACAAATAGAATGTTTTATAACAATATTTGACGATTTCGAGCAGAAGAGTTCGTCTTTTATCTTTTAATAATATGATATTTCCAATCACCACAAAAAAAACTTGTTAACACAGTTCCTTTGGAGCTAAAATGCAGAACTAACGTATGTCCTTCAAACTTGTTATCGTAATGCATCATTTGTGAACTGAAAACTTTCCTGTCGACTATAGATCGTTTCCCTAATAAGGGTGTGGGTGTGACTGTGAGTGTGGGTGAGAGTATTGAAGGAAAGGAAATCCACACCTCACACCCTCTGCTCAACACTACATCATACTACTCAGCACTACGCCATACCGCTCAGTATTACGACGTCCTGTTCAGCACTGTGCCGTCTTGCTCAGTACCACGCCATATCGCTGAGCACTATGAAGTCCTGCTCAGCACCACGATGTCTAGCAGTTAATTATAAAAAATTAGGCTTTTTTATTTTCAGGATTAATGAGGTCATGAGCCGAAAGTTCGGGCCGAAAATTCTCTCGATCAAAATTCATGAAATCCATATAGTAGATAATAGCCATTTTTTTGTTGTTGCTTTAATGTAAAATTATAAATTTTTTTAGCATTCACTTGTTCATGAATAATGCTATTGCAATGATGCAGTTGATAGGCATTAGCGTCTCTCACGACACTGCCGTATATTTCAATCAATACATAACTGGTGATATTGTTTACTTTTTAAACTGATAAAGGGTGTGGGGGTAGGTGTAATTAATTCTGCTGTCTACATTCACACCCACACCCACACCCAAGATATTTCCGTAAACTACAGTTTTAATCGAAACATATAACATAAGAATCCTTTTTACATAGTCTTATTTGTCGATTTATTTAAGAGAAGTTATTTTCATTTCAACAAATGTATTTATCGTCTTCAACTTCAAAGTTATGAACTTCATATAATCAACTTTTATAAACGCAGATAGAAAAAAAGAACAATGCAGAACAGAACACAATTAGTTGTTTAGTTAGTAGCGCATGCCATGATTAAGCGGACTAATTCTTTTCAGTTACATTTCTTCTGTTGTCTATCTCTATCAATATATAAATACACAATATAAAAAGTTCATCATTTTCAAGATGATAAATATATTTCTCCAAAGAAATCAGATACGTTGAATAAATCAATAACTCAACATATGTTCAAAGAATTTTAATAGTGGATGTTTCAATTGATTGTAAACATTATTTTATTACCTTTTTCAAGTGTAAGATGTCTTTGTAGAACTTGTTCTTTCTTATTTCGAAACCAATAGAAAAATATAATATCCAAAGAATAAGTATAAAACAAATTTACTTGAAAACATAAACTTTAGCTAATCTTGAGGGTGTGGATGTGGGTGTGGGGTGTGGGTGTGGGTGGGTGTGGGTGGGTGTGGGTGTGGGTGTGTGGGTGTGGGTGTGGGTGTGGGGTGTGGGTGTAGGTGTGGGTGGTGTGGGTGTGGGTGTGGGGGGTGTGGGTGTGGGTGTGGATGTGGGTGTGGTGGGGTGTGGGTGTGGGCGTGGGTGTGGGTATGGGTGTGGGTGGGTGCAAGTGTGGGTGTGATTGATCACTTAAGTGAACCCACACCCACCCCACACCCACACTCTCACACCCACACCCACACCCTCACACGCACACCCACATCCACACCCTTTGTCTATTTATTTTATTCAAATATTTTCTGTGTCCTTATGATGCGTTGCAATCATAAAAAAACGCGATATGAATTCTTGCGTTGATAGTTCGTCAAACAAGTTCTTGATATACTCGTCGAATGAATATAAGGTGTGGATGTGGGTTTGGGTGGGTGTGAGTGTCTCATTAGCTTATCCAATCAACACCCATACCCGTAATATCAACTTTGTTCGAAATAAAAATGTCAAAAATGGAAGTGAGGCTGAAAGTGAAGATATAAGGTTGAGGATATGTTTTTGTTTTCGGCCAAAGTTTAAAGAATTCTTCTATGGTTCTAATAGAATTATTTCATAAATCATATTAATTAAAACATAAATGAAAAAAAGCTTCTCAGGAGATTTAATTCCACAGTCGAGTCGGTGCGGTCTCGATAAAATCCAACGTGGGTGCTCTTAATCAGGTAGCATATATAACGACTGATGATAGATTAAAAACTGCCACTATGCTATCAGTCACTGCATTTAATTTGAAATACTCAGTGGTCCCTTTTATGTATATAGATCATTGCTGAATTAGAAGTGTTGATCACTACTAATTCACGAAATCATGCGTAATTTGCATCAGTAACAAGATCGACTTCTAATTCCAAAAGATCGCACATATGTGCCACAAGTGAAAGAAATGTATTTCAACTTCTCAACTCAGAAGGGTGTGAGTGTGGGTGGGTATGGGTGTTTATCGCTATTCATCCACACTCACACCCACACCCAATTTGTATTGTTTCCTTAATTTTCAATTAATTACTTTGTTATAATCAGTCTCAGTAATCATCCGCGTGAACATTTTTGAAAGAAGCAAACAATTGCGTGCATCAATATGATGTCGAAGAAGTTCGATTCAAAGTTTATGGCATTTGGAAAAGCGCTCTTTAAAACATTTTTAGAGAATAAAAGATAAATATTTGCAATGGAATATTTTATAGGACAAGAGAAAGTCACAACTTTTGCCGTTTAAAGCAGACCGATGAAACAATCCAGAGTCAATCGTGTGAATTGAATATGGACATAAAAAAATGAAAAAAGAATCTTGCTTTGTAATAGAAAAAAAGAAAGAATAGCACTTAAAAAGAAATCAAAGCATTTCAATTTGCTGCCTTGTTTGATTATGCGAATTTTTAATTCTTCTTCTTTTTCGCCTTCTTCAATTTTTGTTTCAGCTTGTTGTAACGAAGTCAAAAAGGGTGAGTGTGGGTATGGGTTGATCAGTGTTTTCTTTTGAGTTCTAACTACCTCCACATCCCACACACAGTCACATCCCCACACCCACACTCTAGGTAAAGTTTTGTGGTAGTTCAAAAATAAATTTTAACCAATCCATCTGCAATAAATCCATTGAGGCATGTATCAGGATTATCGACAGTTTGTTCACTATTATTCATTATGTCATATCAAATCAATCCTACAACATTAACTAACAAAGAGATATCAAAATTCTTTAAAATAAATTCATTCAAACGAATTATACTTACCTATTTGTAAAATAAAATTTTTCATTCAATTAAAGAATCAGTGAAAAGTATTGATGTTCGAACAGTTAATGAATGTGAGTCAAAATTTTTTATCTTATTGATCATATTCTTGTTGAGATTTACTCATTTATGTTGTAGATAATTGATATTGATATTTGTCATTATGAATATGAGGAATGATTAGAATTGATATGGGTTGAATTTATAATAAGAATAGTAACAATATGATTAAAAAAAATATCTTTGTTCTTGATTAAAAAGAAACAAAATAAAAAATTCAAATATAAATTAAATAAATTAGTAACTTAAGCATTAATAATAACTTTGTTAAAACAAAACTATAAATAAATAGATTTCAGTCAGAATGACTTATTGCAATCAATATTTCAATAAGTGTTTGGGCACAATTAATCATTTGTTCATCATTACTAGCACATGCACTTTCAAAACATATTTCCAAAAGTTTTATACAAGTAAATGGTTTGCCGTTCGGAAGTAGATTCATTAAAGAAGGTAATTGTTTTTTAAGGTAATGATACAACTTTGAATTTGAATCGAACATAGATTTCATAAAATCATTAGTTTCTTTATCTTCAGAAGCAGCAGAATAATTGACAAGAAGTGGAGCAGCAAATAACAAAGGAAAACTCAACATACGTTTATCTTTACCACTTTTATCAGTATATGCTACGTAATAACAAGCAGCTGCTTTAGCTTTTACTTTATGATATGATATAAGATCATTATTAAAACTCTTTCGAATATTTTGAAAAATTGCTTTTAATAATTGTTGTGCTGTTTGTTGGATATCACTTCTTTCATTGGCTTTCATATTACATGATTCAATGCAACAAAAGAGATCAATTTCATTAGAAAATCCATAAGATCCAATAACTTCTAACATCTCAAGTTGATATCGTTTGTAAAGACTTTGTGCAACATCAATATATTCTTCATAACCTTTGTGAAGAAGATTTCTATCAAGGCTAATTTCATTATTATCATTAGAAAATGTATTTTTAAATCTATTATTTAAATGATGAGCACTTCGAAATAATTTTCCTATTAGACAAAAATAAATATTCTAAATCTACTTAAAGTCATGTCAAAATATAATATAGATATAATTTACCAAGTATTTTCTGAGATTGATACACTTCATAATCAGATATTTGCATAAAATCAGGTCGAGTTGTACCAGCTGTGTTAACAATGTCCTTAATTTGATCTGATACATAAGGATGTTGACCTGATTTTACACTATCTAATTCTTGACTTAATCCAGCAGCTAATGAAATAGCTTCTTGACTGTCAATACCGAGCTGATCGACAAGAACAAGATGAATATTACTCAAACGACCTAAATTATCTTGTTCACAAATATCCAATATAACTTTTAAACGATCATGGCGCGTTACAACACGATTAAGAGGTTTTGGACTTGGTCCAGAATCATACTCGTATGGAGTTGGATTAGGTGAAGTAGGTACGAGTTTTGGATCCCAAATAACAGTATACTCATCACCATCTAGATCTGATCCAGATATTTCACTGGCATGTGGTCGTGAACCTTGTTGAGGAAATACTAAAACATCATATAAATGATGGAGAGACTTTTCATTAACACCTTCAAAAACACGTAAATCTCCTGGATGATGACATGGATTTTTTGTAATAGCAACGGGTCCTTCCAAAATAGTTTTATTTCCATCTTCATCAGTAATTTGAATAAAAATTTGTCCTTCTTTGAGTACTTTATATTCGTCAACGATGCCAAACATATAACGTGCTTTCGGTACATGAATATGAGCTCTTGTTACTATTTGATGAAGATTATTTGTGATTGCCGTAAGAAGAAGACGACGAAAAAAAGGTTCGTTTGATAAATTTGGATGTCGAGAAATTTGTAACCATGGTAAAACATGAAGAACCTTATCACGAAGCACATACAAGGCTGATTTATTGGAAAGAAGTGACGCAATAAGCCATAAGATATTTTGCAGTTGAAAACAAGAATATGTTCATTGGATATACCACGATATGAAAGTAAGTTGATTACTTCACGGTTAAGACATAAATTGCCTACAATAGATCATATTGTAAAATATAACGAATAGATTGGAATAAATAATACTATTGTCAAAAAATATCTCTAAAATGAATTATGACAAAACTATAGAGAAAAAAATTTAGATGAAGAAAAGTATTAACTTTCAAATGTTCAGTTTTGGCATTCTGGATCGCTGAAATTATATTTGTCCTTTCAATGTATTGCACAACTCATCCAATAATAAAGACTCGAGACTTCAAAATAAAAATAATATCATTTTAACAGATGATTTTCTGTATATTCTAAGGTTCCAATTAAAATTTTGTTTACATGTAACTTCGATAGGTCATTTACACTCTCAAAAATGGATCATTCTGGTTTCTTTAGAGTCATTTCATGCGAACTTGCAAAAATAATATTCGTCATCTCGACTTATTTCTCCATAACTTAAAATTTTATAGAAGATCAAATGGTGATTTTAATAATAAAAATAGTTGCTATAATTAGATCTAAATTGATAAAATTAATGAAGAAATATGAAATACTTATTTATTTTGGTCTATCCGTTATAATAGTTATTCACTTACGTCTAAGTGAACGTTTACATAGTTCAAGTATTTGATGTTCACACTTGAATTTATTCATACTTGGTCGAATTAACAATTGTTTCTTTTTTCCATTCAGTTGTGGATTTATAGCAATAGTGCCCTTACAACCTCCATAACGAATTTGAAGGACACTTGAAACATATTCTCCCTTCTCAACATTAATACCGATTGATTTATGGATCTAAATAGAAAAAAATATTATTTATTAGATCACAAAGCATAATAGTTTCGATTAAAATACACATCATTACTTACCATGTCATTTAAGTCGGATGAAATTTGTCCAACGCCATCGGTAAAATTATATTTTCCATCAGATGTCTTTAAGTCAGGAATAATATCAACTAATTTTTTATCAATCTTTAAAGAACAAAATGACATATTTTGTTTTCAATTGATAGATATTCGTGTATATATATATAGTCTTACTTCAATGGTCTCTTCTGTACTCGAAAATGGTTGTGTTCTTCGAGCAGTATTCTTTGCTGGTAATTTTTCATCATCAAAGTTACCCATCCATGATTCAAGTGTTTCACGTGTCATTTTACCTTTATCTTCACAATAAAAGTAAAATTGCTTTTGACGTACTTGTGATTGTGCATGATGCAAATAAATATAATGACGATTACCAAACCAAAATCCATTTTCAAGATAATGTTTCAAGAATGGGACAAGTTCTTTTGATAAATATGCTGATCCTGTATCATCCCGAAATTCTACTAAAGACATTGATTGACTTACATTGGGTATATATCGAAATACTCGATTTGATCGCATAAATTTAAATGGTTTCACAATAAGACGTGTTGGTGTAAAACAAAACCATGGAATTCGAACATAATTTATCCAAGTTTTATCCATTTCATAAATCGTACTATCAAGATAGAAATCATAATAAGAATTTTTAAGAGTAGATAATTCATATTGAAGTGGAAGAAAAATATTTTCTGGTAAAATTGTAAATCGTCGTAACCGTTCAAAAATATAATAAATAAACTTATCATTATTATTTTCATTTAATAATTCCAAGATATCACTATTAATAATTTGATGATATATATGACACCCTGCACTATTAAGCATATGCCAACCATATTGACAGATGAATGGATACGAAGATATTTGAAAATGATTGTTATAAATAAAGTTTTTATATGGAAACTCGATAGAACCAAAATATATTGGAATGGAATGGTGACTAAAAAATTGAATAAAATAACGTAAAATATCGTGGATCAAAACAACATTTTTTTGTTGATGATAAATCGACAAACTCATAGTTGAAAAACATGGTTGCAATTGTTCGTCGCATGTGTTCTGCACCGAAAATTGACGCGTGTAACCTTCGAAAGAAACAAAAAAAAACAGATGAAAATTATAGATTTGCAACCAATGAGAACGCTGCTATGACTTACATAGGGAAGAGAGAAAAGCAAACAAATACAAGTGTAGATTTTTTTTTCTCTCATGAAAAATAATTTTATTTGACATTGTAAAAAAAAAATAAGTTTATGTTTCTTTCTCTGAGGGATAACCTACATAGGGACGTATCTCAACACTGGAGGTAGTGGAAAACGTAGCATAGGCAAGTGTCCAATATGGAGACCGCTGCACCAAAAGCAAAAGGATGCTGTCTTAGTGAATTTTATAAGCAGGGTGATCGTTATGTCTCTGTACATACCAGTTGCTCCATCACGGAGTTTATATTCTTCGAGATTGCCTCGTAAACAGACATACATAATGAAGTGATAATTCGATTTCACATCAATGATAACGCCACGTTGAATGTCGATTTTATCTTTTTTTAGTTTATATCGTGAATGCCCCATGTTAATGCTCATAATTGAATCATATTTTGCAAAATAAATATTCCAGTTTGAATACGGTTTTTTATCAAAAAAGTATTTTGATGCAGCACATTTGAATTCGTTTGGTGATATAAGAGAACCAAAAGCTAAATTAACATTGTAGTCTTGTAGTAGAATACAGTCATAACGTTTATTATTTCTAGATGTCTTTAATCCTTGGGAAGGATTTAAAAGATACCAACAAGATGAATGTTGTTTTAGATTGATTTTTCTTTCGGTTTGATAGGTTCTTTTATAAATTGGAAGACCAAAACCATTGATTTCTTTTTGACCTGTTGATGTATTCTTATTCTGAACTAAATTCTCATTAAACGATTTGCTACAGAAGACAATTTCTGTATTTGCTGGTATGAGTACAACATCATTATCTTCTATGTAAATAGATAATAATAAAATACAGAATAAATTTGGTACTTACTAAGGAGCTCCATATCGTTGAGCGTTGGTTAGAAAAAGTGGTACAAGAGGATTTTTTTTTGATTGATTGAAGTTAACTATTAGATTCTAGCACATCAATATAAATCATGTCACATTATATAGTAGAAAAAAATCCACTGAATTTTTTTTCAAAGTCTCGTAGTATAGTGAATTAGTCATCAAGTTGTATCTCTGTTGTTCTTTTCTTATTGGTTGACTATACCAATTCAATCTTTATGTTTTATTTCAACTGTCTTCATCTGTAGTCTTACAAAAACAAACGTTTCAGACAGACTCTTTTTATTTTTCTGACCAATAAAAGACAGACACGTACATAAAAATGTATGAATCATAAAAAAAAGATCATGAAAAAGTATTTGATCAATTTTACAAAAAAGTTTCTATTTCGTATATTTTTATTTCATTTTCTATTCCGCAGCATTTTTAGAAATCTATAATAGTATTATATACCAGAGATGTTTATCACAGCTAAAAATATCCGTCGTTGTCACGATCCGATTTTAAAGAATAGTTTGAAAGAAGTTATCGATGATCTATCAGATTCATTCAATTAAAGAGTATTGCAGTTGTGGACACCGAAGTTCTATACAAAATCATGTAGCTTTTTTTTATGTGCACCAAACACACGTTGTCACACCAGTGCCATCGTGGACATCTCTGGTATTAGTGGCGGCGCCACGGGGGGGCTAGGGGAGGCTGAGCCCCCCCAGATTTGATTTAAGCCCCCCCAGATTTTTTAAAATATTTTCATAGAAACATGTAGTGTGTTCTAATATTATAGTTGTGGCAAACCTTTTACCACGTTGTAGAAATATCCCTCTGATTTTTGATTGGTTGTTCACTTAAACTAAACAAACTTGCTTTCTGCTGGTCCTGCTTGAATCACAAATCAAAGTTTTGAAATGCAATCTGAAAAACGTAGTACTTTAGAACACTATTTTCTTTCTTCTAATAAAAAGTTGCGTAATAATGAACAACAAGTTGAACCAAGTATAGCTATTTCATCTTCTTTATCAACGTCTGAAATTCAAGATCATTCTTCTTCTAATGGATTGTCTGATGATAATGCTCTATCAAATTGTGCTGTTAATAATTCGACAACCCCTCTCACATTATCTTCTTCAAATGAAAAAACTTGTAAAAAGTCGATTCCAAGTGATATCAGTATGTCATGCAATGATGCTCCAGTTCAAAAAATACTATCAAGTTATCCGACGAACCAACAAAATCGTTCATTTCAATCGAACTGGTTTCGTGATAGAATATGGTTGGAATATTCAGTAGAGAATGATGCATGTTATTGTTATTATTGTCGTCATTTTTCTTCAAATCAATTAAATGCTGATGATGCTTTTGCAACTACAGGATTTAATAATTGGAAGAAGGCATTGAATAAAAGTGCTGGTTTAATGAAACATGCATCATCTCAAGCACATATTATTGCAACAAAAAATTATTTGATATATAAACAACAACAAGCAATAGATTCAAATGTTTTAAAACAATTAGATAATAGTCGTGCAATTTTAATTCGTAAAAATCGTGATCGTCTTGTTAAAATTAGTTCAACTTTACTGTTTTTGGCACGACAAATGATAAGTTTTAGAGGACACCAAGAGGATGAAAAGTACGCACATTGAACTAACTTTTAGAAAAATAATAGGCTTCTTAAACAGCGCATGCAAAATATATGACAGCTAATAGCGTGCTATTTTCGAGATCTAAAGAAAAAAACTATCATCCATATTTTGAAACTTTATTTTCTAGAAGATTTCTTTTTTTCAATTATAGTAGTTCAAACCAGGGTAACTTTTTGGAATTTCTTCGTTGGGCATCAACAACTGATCCTGCAATTAAATCTATACTTGAAGACTCGGCGGGTAACGCTACATATTTAAGTCATGATATTCAGAACGAATTAATTAATATTATGAGTAATGAAATTCGTGAAGAAATTTCATTTATGGTACGATAAGCTAGTTATGTTCATATATCTATTGAAACTAAACGACTTTATGTTTCTATTCCTTTTAGTTAAATAAAAACAAATACGCTTTGATGGCCGACGAATGTCGAGATGTTAGTGGTACACAACAACTATCTATAGTTATTCGATTCGTTCCTGATCCAAATAGATGTACAATTGATAAAGCTTATATTGTAAAAGAATATTTTCTTGGATTTATACCATTAGCACAATTTGATGCTGAGACATTGGCAAATAAGATTGTTGAATTTCTAAATTATTGGAAAATTCCTTTAGAATTTTGTATTTGTTTATGTTTCGATGGGTAAGTTGTTTTCTTGTATTCAATTTAATCTAGAAACTCTTACATTATTTTCCTCTACATATGTAGAGCGTCAGTGATGTCTGGATGTGTTGCTGGAGTTCATGTTTATCTTAAGAAATATATGCCGAATTCAGTCTATGTACATTGTGCAGCTCACAGGCTGAACCTCGTCATAAGTGATACATGTAAAGTTGTATGTTACGTTTCGGATTATTTCTCAATAGTATCTCAAATTTATACGTTTTTCACCGAATCCGGTGTGGCCAATATTTACTTCAAACAAGCTCAAATTGATTTAGGTTTAGGTAAATATGTTTCTACATTGTGTCAAAGCCATTGTCTCTATATTTTTATTTAATAGTACGATCTTCAACACTTAAATTATGGACCATCACTCGTTGGGATTCTCGTTGGATTGCCATTGATTCTATTGTTAATAATTTTCCTGCAATTGTTCGAGCACTTCGTGATCTAAGTGAAGATGGGAGTGGTACACGATCGACAAATGCATTAGGAATTCTAATACATGTTAAAAAATCAGTTTTTATTATTAGTACGTTTATTCTTCACAAACTGTTGGGAATCATAAAAGTGTTAAGTGATCAATTAAAAAGTAGAGTTTTTTCTTCTAAAACTCTAATTTTTTATACATTTATTTTTCTCAAGGTCCATCATTAGATTATGTACGTGGTGAACATCTCATTAAGTCTGTTATTCAACAATTTAAAGATCTTCGAAATGATCAATGTTTTTATCAGATATATGATAAAGCAAAAGAGTTTTGCAGCTTACATGAAATTGATTTTACACATACATATCGATCATATCGTGCAACAACGATACCTATTAGATTTCAAGATTTCTTTATCAGTTCAACAGTGGGACAACGTGAAGCATTACACACACCAACTGATTATCTCAATAGATTTTATTTTCCACTGATTGATTGCATGTTGTTGGAATTGAATGATAGATTTTCATCCAAAACATTATCATTGATGAAAAGCATCTCCACCGTTTATCCAGAAAGTGCCAATTTTCTTAATATTGATGAAATCGATGATTTCTGTTGTCATATTGGTGGAGATAAAAGTTCATTAAAAAATGAATTTCTTGTTATCAAACCTATGCTTGAATCTAAAAAAGTCAATAATGTTATTCAACTTTTTAATGAATTGATTTCAATGTCAGATGCGTTTCCTCAAACCTTGAAAATGATCAAGAATGCAGTAACTATGCCGATTTCACAAGTTACATGTGAAAGAGCTTTCTCAAAGATGAAAATAATTAAAAATTATCTTCGAAATTCAATGACTGATAAACGTTTAAGTGATTTAACAGTACTAGCTATTGAACGTGATTTTGATATAAATTTTGAACGAGTAGTCGATAAATTCGCAAAAAATCATAAAAATTGTAGAATTTTATTGCTTTAAGTTGTATATGTAGATTAAGATATTATCAATAAATATAACTTGTCTTCTACGAATGAGTACGCATGCTTTTACTCTTTACTTCAATTCAGTAGAACTTTTAGTGAATAAACTAAATTTGAATGATTTATACTTTATCACTTGAAATAGTCAAAGATTGGGGGCTGAGCCCCCCCAGATTCAAATTTCTGGCGCCGCCACTATCTGGTATATATCATCAAATGTTTTCAAAACAGTTTCATGATGTTTGAGTGAAATATTTTTTGTAATTAGAACATATATTCTAGAGTTTTGTAAGATATCGCTAACTGATATGGTTGAATGAGAGTGAACAAAGTAAGCAGTTTTTGACAAGCAACTTCAAAGACACTGTGCATCTTTATGGTTCACAAGTAGTCACTTGTTGTATTAGAGCAAAATTATGTTCTGCTAAAGAAGAATCAGTCTTAGACGGGTGCAGGGTTACGTAGCAAGAGCTAGTTCACAGAGAGTTTCGTCCCTCATTCGGTTACCAATTTTGTACATCTGAAAACGCGAACTATTTTTGTTGATTTTCAGCTCCTTGCGCTTCTAACATAGATCTACAACACTTGACTGGGAAAAAAAGCGGTCATTAAATTATTCACAATTAGTCTTTTGGCGATATAGTACTGGGAGGTCATGGCAAATCTCAAACTGTTACCAGTTTTGACTAAATATCTGATCACTGATATCTGATCTTCTTGAAAATATCAGATATTTGAATCTATCTATCCTTTTAAAATCGCGAGCAGAGTGAGGTGTGGATGGGAGGGTGCAGATGTGGGTGTGAGTATTTACACTAGTAACTCAATATCCACACTCACACCCT